AACATGGAGTCAGATTCATCATTCCTGCCTTCGTCTGGGTACCCCGCAAATACAATAATGACTCCAGTGCTGTTCAACCAAAGAGAGACAGGTTCCAACACCAGAAAACCTCCTGCCAAGACTCAGTAACACCCTCAGATATTGAAACTCTGTTTTGGGCCAGGAAGCATAGTGGAAAAAGGAAGGAAACACCCTAAACAAAACCCAGATTCTCTGGAATATGAAATATTTCAAAATAAAACATAAGGAAAGTCAAGCTGAGAGGTAAGTCTAGACACTGAGAGTAAGGACAGGCTGGGGACCAGAGGAAACTGCTTCTCCCAGATCAGTTCCTCTTCTCAGAGGCTCCTGTTAGCCTCAAGACATCACTCAGTAACCTCAGGCCTCTGACATGCCATGGTTCCCACTGAGCCACAGATCTGGTATATTTGCTGAGCCACAGGCACTGCCAGCACTCCAGAGCCTCCTGCAGTGCTGGGCTCCCTTACCAAGCCCCCAAACCTCCAAACCCCATATGCATTCCAGGACACACATCCAAGCTGAGCCAGGGTCACTGCTAAGAGCCTTGGTTCTGTGCTCCAAAATAGGTCAAGACATTTTTCTTGGGATCTTCCAACAGCTGCCTCAGAGGCAGCACCACGCAGGTTCCAGGGCTGCTTGTGTGTTACATTCATGGATAAACACCTGAACTCCTCTGTGTATCCTCCTCCCTCCTGCTGTTGGTGCATAAGCTCTACCTGTGTGGTCCCCAAACCAGCCATGCCAGTGCAAAGCAATGCCACCCAGCTTAATGTGTGAGCTCCAAATCCCAGCTCAGTGCTGGAGAGACAGTAATTAATATTTTCCCATCTCCTCCAAGCAGGAATGCACAGGAGCTCACCTGAGCTGTTACCCTGCCAACTACTCCTGACGAGGCTCCTCTTCCCACAACTATGTTCTCACCCTGAAGAAGGAAGAGAAACCAGGCAATGTCCAAAACAGAATAATAAAATACACATTACCTTTGCCTCTGGGCAGGAAACCTAGCAGCTGATCATCTTCTTTTGAGGAGACAAAGCAGTTAAACAACAAATCACATGGCAGCAGTGGTGGTGAGAAACGAAGAACTTCATGAACTTTCTGTCCAGGGTCAGCATCTTGTAACCCCCTGGAGTCACTGCAGCAGCCACAGCAGGCAGCGCTGGTCCCAGGGTAACGCAGAGCTGTGAGCCCAGGGTGGATGGAGCTCCCCTTCAGCCTATCCCCGTGGTAACTACCTAAAACTACTCACATTTGCTTGAGCTGCAGGCAGAGGAAGCAGCAGCCGAGCCCAAGCAGACGGAGCAGGGTCTGAGAGCCCACACAGACCCGTGCAGGCACTGACCAGTGCCCCCAGTGCCCTCACCCAGCTCCCACCAGCCCTGGCAGAGGACGAGCTCTGTGTTAGCTCTGCCCTGCCTGGCTGGGCTTGGGGCTCCCTGCCAGCTGGGCTGCTGCCAAGGCAGCAATTCCAGTCCTCCAAATTCCAGAGCTGGAGCAGCTTCCAGCTCTGCCCGCCCAACCTTAACGCTTTCACCACTGCCCCTCTCCCACAGCACAGTCACCCCTATCTGTCCCAGAGCATCCAGAGGGTGGGACAGGGGGTAGCAAACCCATCAGGAACTCCAGAGCAACTTGGAATCAGCCAGGATGGAGGAATGGCACAGGCACCTTCTGACACAGACAATGAGGGCTTTACCTGTGTTCCTTGGCAGGTGTGTCCCTGCTTCCCTGTGTTCAAGGTGTTCAAGTATTTCCCTGCCCTCCAGCAGTAACACATGAAACATGGGAGCAGACTTAAGGGACACTGGTGTCTGTATGTGTGTGTGGGCAAGGTCCTTTCACAGGCTCTTTGATTGTGGCTGTCCTGTGCTGGGCCAGGAGCTGGGCTTGGTGATTCTTGGGGATCCCTTCCAGCTCAGGACGTTCTCTGACTCTATACCCCCTGAGCAGAGCTCCAGGCTCCCAGCCAGCACTCAGCTGAACAGAAAGTCCACTTCACCTTGTATTCCTAAAAGCCCAGACATGTATTTAAGGGTTAAAAAGCACATGTATAAGAGGCATGAAAAGATATGTAAGGTGCTGTACACCACGTATGAGGAGCAGAGTAGGGATTGCTGGCCAGTGGACATCCCTGGGAACACCCCACTGGTGTGGGTGGGATGCTGAGGGAAGTTGGCTGCACACACACAGAACTCCCCCTCCTTTGGGACAGCCACTGGGACCTGCCTCCCCCAGCAGCTGCCTGGCTGAGGTGGAGAAGCTGCAGGTGCACAGGGTGAACTGTCCCACATTCTACCTTGCTGTGTAGCCCAGCAGAGCCAACATCCATCCCCGGCCTGTGGCCAGCGTGGAGAGAGGACCAGGACCCACCACAGGCACAGGCACTCCCAGAGCTGCATTTCCGCCATGTGGTGCACTGGTTTGGATCTCCCAGCTCCAAGGTGTGCAGCATCCAGACAGGAGCACCAGGAGATGCTCAGGAGCCCACAGCCATCTGGCCACTGGCCACAGAGGTCTCCCAGCAGGCTGCTGCACAGGCAGCAGTGGAATTACCAAGCAGGCATGCAGGCTGCTCCTCCTTGCTGTCTGACCTCCCTTTCCTTGTTTAACACACACATGCCCTAATGAAAGCTCCACGGAGCTGGCTGGGCCCCAGCTCCACCAGCCCCCTGCCCAGCCACTCCAGCTAAGCAAACACTGCTGGGAGTGGGAGGCCCTGGAGATGAAGAAGGACCATGCCTGGGAGAAGCCCTGCACTCCTCCACCTCTGCTGGCAGCAGAGACAGATTAGAGCTGACTGGAGTTACCAGCATTAAATAAACATGCCTGCCCTCTTTGAAGTTCTGCTTCCCTTGAACATGAGCTCATTCCACGAGGCCTCTTTTTGCTCAGCCCCAGGAAGCCACAGGGTTACTCATTCTCCATGGACTTAACTCTTCACAGGATTCTCCACCTCCCACAAGGGCCTCACACAGTCAGTCCAGTAAATGAGCACAGACCAGTTTACCACAGCAGCACGTGACTGTCTGCATGTCTCTCCAGTTCTCTTTAAGAGATATTCCCACCAGGAAAGGGAAACTGCCCAACTCCACCACATGGTCCTGCAGGCTGGCACATGGAGAAGTTTTACTGCAGCTCAAGGAAAGGGCAATTCCTCTATGGTGATGCATCCTCCCACCCTGCCAAGAGCAGCACTCTCAGGTCTGGGAGGACTATGCTCAACCCTCCACCACAGCAGGGCTGAGGAAACACGGGAGGAATTTCATTAGAGAAAGTTCCCAATACTCTGTTCTTTATTCTAATCCCACAAAGTGCAAGTCAGAAATTCTTGGTCAGGAGAGGGAGCAGACAGTCACAGAGGGAGAAGTAAAAGCACAAAGACAAGGCTGATCTCAACTCCCTGGCATTTTTGCATGGCTCATGCAATCTCTGCTCTTGTCCCAGGAGTTGGAAAAAAAGGACAAAGAGAGCAGAAATCGGCCTGAGGGTGAGGGCTGCCTCTGCCTGGAGTGGGGAGAAGTGACTTTTCGGGGGTCACTTTGTACATGAGCAGGAAGTGCAGAGTCACTGCACATGGAGCCAATGGGAAAGGGAGAAGCCATCCCAGCCACCTGCCAAGGGAGAAGCACCAGCTCCCCAGGGTCTTGTTTCTGGATAACTGACTGGGCTCTGCTCACTCACAGCTTCAGCCCCTGGCAAGAGGAGGCTGGGGAGGAACAGAGCTGCCTATACTGGGGCTGAGGGTCAGACAGGTTCCCACTTCTCCTGAGAAGGGAGCTTCCACTGTACTCCTGAAAACTTCCACCCCCAGGTTACTGCCAGGAAAGCTCCCACCAAATACAAATATGTCTTGAGCCACTTGTGCAGTACCTGAGAGGCACCCTGGAGATGCCTGGAGAGAGCTCCAGGGCACCACTGGAGGAGTCAGCCACTGGCCAAGAGGGCCCCAGTGCTCTGTAGAGCCTGCAGGGCAGCAGCAGGTGGGACACAACAACCAGCAAGAAGAGAGGAAGGGAGAGGATGGGAACAGCAAGGCAAAATGTAGAAATCCAAGATAAAGAGGAATCATCTTCAGCCAAGGGGAGCTCACAGCTTGGCTTGCACACAGACCATATGAGATCACTCAGGCAATCCACTGAGACCAGTCCTGAGCACAGACCTGGCCTGTGCCAGGGACACAGGGCAGCATGAGCCTGACAGGGCAGTATGAGCTGACCCAGGACTCCCAAGAGCAACAGTCTTGTCAGAGAAATGCCTTTCCTAAGCAACTCTTCAGCTCTGGCAGAGAGGTTGTTCTCCTGCTCCTCATTTCATTGACAAGCCACGTGCAGGGCTTGCCAGCCAGCAAATGCCAGAGGGATGTGCCTGGGGACAGTGACAGCCCCCCTGGGCCCAAACACAACTGTGATGTGAGAAAGCTTGAGACATGTCTTGAGAATCAAACCAGCCATTGCTCAGGCCTTTTCAAGGCAGCAAGCTCCCCAGCACTGCTCCTACCCAACAACCACAGCCCTAGAACAAGGCAGGTATGACCTGCTCCACAACTGCTTTGTCCACGTTCACAGCAAAGGCACACCAAGGAAACTGCCCAAAGCACAAAGAGTCGCAGTCCTGCAGCTTCACAGTTCTCATTATTCCAGGCCCCCTGAGAAAAACCGCATAGGAAAACGTGGTTCAAAGGCGCAGGAGGAACTTCAAGGAAATTCCTGGAGAGGAGCAGACCTCAGCAATGTTGTACAGCACCATCCCTCCCCAGAGCCATCATCCTGCCCATCTTTATGGGTAGCCACTCGCCACCACCTTGGTGCCAGGCTGTTCCAGTGCTATAGGTCTGATCACCTGTACCTTTACCATGCATGAAGCAGCACAAAAACCAGACAGGGCACCCAGGTGTCCTTGCTGCCAGTCTCTGCCTGCTTTGCTGCTCTTTGAGAGCTGAGTGGAGGAGCAAAACAGCTAAAAAACAACGTGGGCCTTACCTTTTGTACCAGGGGGCTGCAGATTATCTCCAGTCAGCGAACACCAGCCTACGGGAAAGATGTCCCGGGAATCATATCGGCACCAGTAATCGAAGGCACCTCTCCAGCCATCAAATGTTATGAGGACCTCAGAACCTCTCACCTCCCCAATGGTGGCCGGGCAGATGAAGTGAGGGTTCTTCCTGTCCACTGCCTCCAGCTTCATACCTGTCTTGAAGAAGTTTTGGGAAGGAGATGGTGGTTCCTACAAGAAGAAGTGGAATATATGCTCAAAGGGGATATGGCAATGCCTCCCCACACCAGGGCTGTGCCCTCACCAGCAAACTCATCTCCACGAGCAGCTGAAGGGAGTTAGTGGGCTGGATTTGAACCCCAATAGGTGTGCACACACTGGCTGGGCTACACAGCCACTGCCCTTTAATCAAGAGGCAGCAAAGTCCACTGCTCACTGCTGGACTGAACCCAGGGAGTGGGACATTCCAGAGAGGTGCTAACGTTCCCCCCTTGCATTCCCCACTTTGAGCAGCACCTGCAGCCCCAGTGAAAAACCAGCTCCCACCTCAAGCCCGAGCCCTGAAGCCCAAAGCACCTCCTTGGCAGACCTCTGGCTACATCCTGACATTGCTATGACACAGCTGCAGAGGACACAGGTCTGTCCTAGAGCAGCCCCAAGGCAAAGCTGTGCAGTGTCACCTCCTACGGGACCAGCACATCTCTCATGAGACACCAGCTCTGAGTCTGGTGCTCTGCAGCCAAGTGGCCATTGCCAGAAGGATCTGCACAAACAGGGAAATACCTTGTGAAAAATCCGGACAGGAGCCATCTCTGCTCCATTCAGAGTCTTCAGAAGGAACATGGGCCAGGAGGAGGCATTCAGCCGGAAGCCTGAGGGGAGGGAAGAGGAGATGGAGACTTTTAGACTGTGGGGGTTGATGGATCTGGCAGCACATGCCTGCTCTGATGGGAACTCACACAACTGTGATCCTGTATCACCCTCCTCCCATGCTGGAGTCAGGTGGGACTTTAGCCAAATGTTCTGAATGCAAAGCATTTGTGTTATTGAAAAGAAACATCTGGAAACAGCTGTCTGACTGCAATATTCACTTCTCAGAACAATCCCATTGACCATCCAGACAGAGCACTTTGTGCAGCAGAAGTGCTGCCAGCTCCAGTGATCTTGCTGCAGGGGAGACATGAATCAGCAAGTGCACACTCAGGCTATGGAATTTCTTCCTCAACAGGGAATTACAGCTTCTGGGTGGCCTCCTCTACCTCTAGTGTGAGCTGCAGGCAAGCTAATCTGAAGAAATAGAGGCTGTGACTTGGCTGGAACACATTATAGGGAAGGATGTCAGCTTTTGGCTCAACACCTGCTGTGAAAAAAGTGGAGAAATAACAAGAGGGGGCTTATGGGAAGAAAAAAGCTATTTCACATGCTCTGAAGTATGTTGCACTGACTATGACTATACAACCAACAGAAGGCTCTGGATATCACAGAACATCTTTGCTAAACGTGCATCTTCCTACACAGGCAATTTCAGCTGCTCAGCTGTTTTTGGGGGGGTTTTGAAGGTAATCCTGGCACTGGACTTGGACTAAGAGCATGGCAAAACTTTGCCAAGTTTGCTCAGCACAGGTCACCCTGCCAGCCGTGAGCTCTGTCAGATCAGCTTGGAAACCAACCCAAGTAGCCACAACTCAGGGGATGGAAGAGCCCAGCTCCCACAGCGGCAAAGAAAACATTTTATGTGAATCACAGAACATCCTGAGCTGAAGGACCCCCAAGGACCAACCAGTCCAACTCCTGTCCCTGCCCAGACCCCCACCAACCCCACCCTGGGCATCCCTGGAGCTCTGGCAGCCTCGGGGCCGTGCCCATTCCCTGGGGAGCCTGGGCAGTGCCAGCACCCTTTGGGGGAAGAACCTTGCCCTGATCTCCAGCCTGAGCTGCCCTGGCCCAGCTCCAGCCATGCCCTGGCTCCTGCCCCAATTTTTACACAGAATTAACCTGGCCCAGCTCCAGCCGTGCCCTGGCTCCTGTCCCAATTTATACACAGAATTATCTGTGTAAAAAAAGAGCAGCAGCAGATGTGTGTACATGAAAAATACTACAGGAAAGAGAAAACCCTTAGTGGGTTTTCTAGGCCCTTGAACTCTGCAGGCAGGAAGGACAACTGCAGCACTAGCTCAGCTACCTGTCTTCATGCTGGGAGCAAAATCCTCCTCTGCTATGGGCAGGGACACCTTTCCTGATCCCACTATGCCAGGGCCTCACCACGCTCACAGGGAAGATTTTTTCCCCAACATCTCACGTAACCGTGCCCTCTCCTCTGGCGCAAGGTTCGGCAGGTGACACAGAGCAGAGCCGGGCACACGGGGCAGCCATCCCGGACCTGTTCCCCAGCCCAGCCGGGGCTGTCTCACCTGCGCTTCGTGCCCTCTGCTGGCCACACCCGCCACGGCACAGGAGGGACCCACCGCGCCCGGGACAGGGCTTGGGAGAGACGGGCAGAATCACTGAATGGTTTGGGTCGGAAGGGACCTTAAAGCTCATCTCATCCCACCCCCTGCCATGGGCACAGACACCTTCCACTTCTACCCGGCTGTTCCAAGTCCTGTCCAGCCCGGCCTTGAAGATATTATTTGCGGATATGAAAATTGAGAGATTTATGAAGACACTAAAACTGCTGGGCAGCAGAATGCAAAAGCAGGTTAATTTTGCAGGAAAGAATCAGCAAATCAGCTTGTCACTGGGCTAGCATTAAAGAAAAAGGAAAGTGTGTGTTTAACAGAAAAACGGAAGAAGTGTTAGACTGTCCAGGCTATTTATAATGTTGTAGCCAAGCAAAATTAAACAAATATAATTATGAACTATTGCAAGTATCCCTCCACATGAGACAGGACGTAAGTCACTGTGAACCTTTTCAGACATTATGTTTCCTGTCCAAGTAACCTAGTACTGAATCCTAGAATCACTTGGTAGCTTGGGTTGGAAAGGACCCTAAAGATCAACCAGTTTTACCTCTCTGACATGGGCAGCAACACCTTCCACTATCCCAGGTTATTCCAAGCCCCATCCAATGTGGCCTTGGGCACTTCCAGGGACACGGCAGCCACAGCTTCTCTGGCCAACAATCCAGAGCTTGGCCTTGGACACTTCCAGGGACGGGGCAGCCACAGCTCCTCTGGCCAACAATCCAGAGTGTGAGCTGCAACCAGGGCAAGCAGCTCAACTTGGTGAGGAGACCTCTTTCATCTACACTCTAAAGGACCTCCCTGTCCATGTGTCTGTGTGGAAATACAGAGCTGGTGTGGTTTACAGACCTTGTGTGTATCCCAGAGTGGGCAGGGGCAGGCTGTGGACCTCTGTCCCAAGCACAGATCTATAAAACCCCCCAAGCTTTCCCCACCATCAATTAGACCCTCGCTGGACAGCTGAACTCCAGCTCACCCAGTGGAGGCTGCAGCATCCCTCCATTCTTCTCACAGTTGCCAATGGGCTGGATCTCAGCAGAGTCCACCAGCCTCCAGAAGTCGTTCTTGTTGTCGCTGCCGTCGAGGCGCAGGCGCAGGCGCGCGCCCGTCAGCCCCACCACGGTGGCGATGCACGTGGACGTGGTGTTCCGGGGGTCCTGGGCCTCCAGCTTCATACTGATCTTGAACTCGTTTGCAGGTGGAGTGTAGGACTGAAAAGAGTGGAAAAGGGGCCAGTCAGAGCCAGGATTGCCAATAAATGCATGCACCAGTGTGGAAACTCAGAGCACTGGGAATATTTCCCTGTCTGCTCTGGGGTGCCCTGACCCCCAGGGGAGCACTGATTTTGACCCTCATTCATGGAGAAAGTTTCCTAGACTTCAAGATAGATTAGAATCCATTGAAGTGTGAAGTAGATTACAGAGAGTGGTGTAGGTGTATCACTTAGGTGGGAAATTTAGGTTTTGGGATTTTTAGTATATTGTGGATGGAAGCAAGATGGAGGGCACAGGGTGTTGTCCTGGGTTTCTCCTTCATGCTTCTTCTTTATGACCCTTCTTCATGGGTCTGGGCGGCATTTTGTAATTGGGCAGAAAAGTCTGCATTGCGGGCTGTTTGGGATCACTTATTGGGTTGAAAGGGAAAATAATCTAGGTGTCAGTTCTTAATTGGATAGTTTAGCTTTAAAAGACCTTGTAACAAGAGGTTGTTGGCCATTTTTTGCGGTGCTTTTCCAGTGAGCTGAGCCTTGTGTGGACAGTGTGCAAGACTCTAGGTAAGATAACAATAAACAAGAACCTGAAGACCGAAAAAATCCAGTGCGTTTCTCTTTCCTGACACAAGAGCACTCCAGGAGGGTCTCAGGCACAAAGCCTCCAGCAGTAGGAGCACCTAAATGGAGTCTGCTGAAGGCTGAAAGCCCCTCAAGGCACAGCACCGAGGCACCACAGAGAACTCAGCAAACCCAGGCACGTCTGTAACAGACCCCCATCCTTTCATCCTGCATCATCTAGACAACTAAAGCCTGTTCTCTTGGAATCACAGAATCATTAATGCTGCAAAACACCTCTAAGATCATCAGCTTCAGCTGTTCCCACAGTACTGCCAAGCCCACCACTAACCCAGTACCCCTAAGCACCACAACTACATGTTTTCTGAACACTTCCAGGGATGGGGACCCCACCAGTGCCCTGGACAGACATTTCCTTGGCCTGATCACCCTTTCAGTGAAGAAATTTTCCTGATATACAACCTGACCCTCCCCGGCACAAGTTGAAGTTGTTTCCTCTCCTCCTGTCCCTTGTTCCCTGGGAGCAGAGCCTGACCCCACCTGGCTCCATCCTCCTGTCAGGAGTTCTGCAGAGCCACAAGGTCCCCCCTGAGCCTCCTTTTCTCCAGGCTGAGCCCCTTCCCAGCTCCCTCAGCCACTCCTGGGACTCCAGCCCCTTCCCAGTTCCGTTCCCTTCTCTGCACATGCTCCAGCCCCCTTGTGAGGGGCCCAAAACTGATGCCAGGATCTGAGGTGCAGCCCCACCAGTGCCCAGTGTAGGGGATTAACCCTCTCTTGGGAAGACTCACCCAGTCAACCCCAGACCCACAGAGACACTCACTCTCCCCTCTGCCCAGAGCCAGGTGTCCCACACTGATTCACTCCTGCACTGCCTGTACTCAGCACAACCACCTCTGGGCTCAATACCTGCTGCCCAGGGGCTGCTACTCTGTCACAACAATTGGGTGAATTCTGCTGAAAATCTCCTGATTGAGCAGGATCCACCAGAAGCAGGATCCCAGCCTACTCAGGACACTTTCTCCAAGGGCTCCGCTTGACAGAGTTAATATCACACTGGTGTTCCCAACATGCAAATCTGAGAGAAAAATCATCTGTGCTACTCTAAATGCATCTTTTTAATCTTTGCTTCAGCACTTGGATTTCTGTTAAGTCTCAAATATCCTTAAGCATCTTCCTTTCCAAGCCAGGGGCCTATCCCAGGCACAGAACTCCAGGACCCCCAGTGGACCATAGCCTTTGACCTTTCTGGTTTTCACCCTCTTACCTGCTTGAAACAATGGGCAGGAGCTGGGATGGCACATGTTTCTTTCAGGTACTTCTCCCAGGTGAAGTGACCTGAGAAGTGAAAACAAACAGATTCAAATAGGAAAGGATGAGCAAAATTCTCAGCAAAAGAACTGGCCAGACTCCTGAGCTGGCAGTTCTGCACTTCTCACAGAGGAGGTGCTCACAGGCAACACGTTTTCACCAAGAACCTCTGATGTTTGTGAGCACAGAAGATTTACAACTGCAACTGACAGGCAGAACAAAGCACAGCGCTGCCTTCGGCATCCTCCTGCCTCGGTGCTGCTGAGAAGGGGCTGCACAGAGTCAGGATAACAACTTACAACTTAATGGAAAACACCCAGCACAGATGGGGATCTGCTGAGTCCTCCAGACAACTGTCCCTTAAAAACCATTCATTAAACACATCACTCAGTCTGGGGATTGCGAACAGTCACCGTGGGCTACGAGCAGCACAGCTTGGGGGCTGGAATGAGATTATCTTTAAGGTAATTTCCAACCCAAGCCATTCCGTGATCCCATGATTCTAAATCATGGATTTAGAACAGGAACCTGCATCTGTGGTGACTGCATGGTCCCCCTGGTCCAGCACAGACACAGTCCACCCCATAGACCAGGGATAACCCAACCCCAGCAATAAGTGGACAGGTCAGCAATTAACTTCCTGAAGTGTCATGAAGTCCACAGGATGGGCAGGATGGGAGCAGGGATCCTCCAAACAGGGATTTACTGAGCTCAATACCTCACACCCAACCTCAAGCCCCCTTCCACTGCATGCTGCTGCCAGGGGAAGTGCATTTCATCCTTGCCTGCACCTTCCTCACATACAGCAGGAAGGGTAAAAGCAATATGCCACCCAGGGAAACCTGTTATTAAATGAGGAATTAAAAGCTCCTGTGATCTGAGCAAATCATGACTTTTGCCATTTAAACTGAGCAGCTGGGAGAGGAACCTTCCAGCATGACATTCACTTGTATTCATCCAAACAGCTCCCGGGAGACCGCTGTTTTCAAGGCATTTCAAGAGCAGTGGTGGCAGCACAATTGAAGTCAGCCACTGCTTCCCTGAGTCAGGCAAGTTCTTAATCAGTCTATTTTCAAAACAAAAGCTACATTAAGAGCCATTTTAGCTACTGCAGCACACACCACACCTCTGAAAATTGAGGCAGTAAGGTCAGCACACATTGCTTCAGCGCTGCCTCGTGCACAGTAGAGCCTTCATAACCTACAAGCTTCAAATAAATACAAGGAATGCTGCTTTCTCACCACCTCCCATGCAGATGACCAGTACACTGTTAAAAATGGGGAAAATGAACAGAAAAAATACAGTTTCATTGCCACACTGGCTGAATATTGCTGTTTCCAGACTGACAGCACTCTCCATCCCCCAGAGTACTCAGCTCCCTCCACTGGCACATATTTCCTTTCAGCCACAGTCTCACACTGGGTGAATGAGGAAATTCAGTGAGGTACTGCAATGATGCTCTCACAAAACCAAAATTCTTTTGCTTTAATTGAAGATATGATTTTATACTTGGTTCTGTCAATGAAACTCTTTGTATGAATAATGCAGAGTAAATATGCAGGCAAAGCAAAGCTTGGCACTCCTGGCCTGGAAATGCCTTATGTATTCCACCCCTTAACTCTGGTGGCTGATGTGGGCTCATCTCAGACTGGGATGGGCCTTCTTGTCCCCAGATCACAGAGGACACCCAGGTGACAGCACTGGGTGAGCAGTGCCAGTCTCAGTCCCAGGCCCTGAGCCAGCAGCCTGAACAGGATCAGCTGTGCTTGACAATTTTATATAAAAAAAAACAAAACCAAAAACAACCTCCCCTCAGCGGGTTTCAATCTATCACTATTAAAAGTTGTCATGGTTTAAATCTTCCCACTTTCCACTCTCTCCACACCAAGCCAGGCTGTCCTGCTCCCTGCAGCAGCTCACTCCACAGCCCAGATACATGCTGCACAACCCAGTGGGAGCAGAGAATTTCTGACACAGCTGCAGGCCTCTAAAAATAGTGTTTGGACATGGAACTTATTTGAGATTAGTTCTAAAGCCTGCTGGGATTCAACCACTGTATGAAGACACACACAGCACTAGAACTGCAGCTTCTCTAGGACCTGAGGGTACAGCATGAAGCTGGGCCAGGGCAGCTCAGGCTGGAGATCAGGGCAAGGTTCTTCCCCCAGAGGGTGCTGGCACTGCCCAGGCTCCCCAGGGAATGGGCACAGCCCCGAGGCTGCCAGAGCTCCAGGGATGCCCAGGGTGAGGTTGCTGGGGGGTCTGGGCAGGGCCAAGGTTGGACTAAATGATCCTTGGGGTCCCTTCTAGCCCAGGGTGTTCTGTGACTCTCTTACTCCTATGACTAATAGTTCTGGTGATTTATTTTGCAAAGATAAGCAGGAGAAGCACAAAGACTTCTAAGAAAAGACAGAGCTGATACAGCAGTGCTCACTACCAGCCATCCCCTTACACACAGGTGGCAGGGCAAGCACAGGTAGACCCTGCACTTCTTTTTCAAGATTACCCTCAAACCAAGGTAAAAACTGCAGACTGCAGTTGGAAGCTGCCACCACACCTTTAGCATGAGAGGAAACCCTGCACTTCAGGCCCTTGTCCCAGGTCCCTCTCTGCCTCTCTCCAGCACATTGGATCTTCTTCACAGGAAGAAATGAGAGACACTTAAATGAGAAACACCCTGTTTTTTAAACTCCATCTGTGAGCCAAACAAAAGCCAAGGATTGGGAACCTGTGTGACTGCCTGTGACTTGGCTGTGGAAATGCCACTGGGGTGACTGTCTGTCACTTGTGCTTGCCTTGGGAAAGCTCCTTGTCGTGTGCTCATGCCAAAGGAAGAGATTACTTCCAGGCAGAGAGTCAGATTTGGGCTCTGATGTCTTAACCTCCAAAAATATTTACTCCAAACAAAACACTCCACAAACCCAAGGGGTCAAACTGCAGTAGTTGTGAACAATGCAGCTCTGCACCCTCATGTTTTGATTTTCTTCATGTTGCATTTAACACTGATCCTTTGCCCAGAATTTAAATGAAGATGGAGTTTCTGTTTATATCTTTAACTGAAGTCTGGTTTGGGCTCCATTAGCATTTTGGCTCCCGAGGGGTCATCAATCCAACTGAAACAATACATGTGTGTTTCAGGTCACATCTGTGAAGGAGAACGTGGCCTATCCAGATCAAGGCATCCCATTAGAGTCTGCAGCCCATATGTGTGGCTGCTAAGGAGCACCAAGGCAGCACATGAAAGCAGCACAGTTTGAGCCAGCTCGGTATGAAAATGAGCAGAGCATCGTCTGGGCTGGCAGATCCCAGGTGACAGTGGCTGTCCCTGATGTCTGAGCATGGCCTCCCAAGGGGTCAGCTCTCCCACAGGCACAGCTCCTGCCTGTCCCACCTGCCCCATCCCAGGCACTTTGCTCAGCCATCAATCCAGCTGCACGTGCTCCATTGGTAACATGAGCCCCACTGTTCTGTCCTGCTCAGTAAAACGTGAGAATGTGAGTCAAAACCAACAGCTCTGAAACACCAGAGCTGTCTGCTCTGTCCTGCTCTCCTCAGAGGTTCCCAATGCAGCTTTGACCCGAAATTCTTCCAGCCTGGATTACAGGGTGCTCTGTGGCAGATGCTGCAGTTTTACCCCCTCACTGTGCAGAATCACAGAATGGTTTAGGTTGGAAGGGACCTTAAAGCCCATTCCTTTCCACCTGCCATGGGCAGGGACACCTTCCACTGTCCCAGGTTGCTCCAAAACCTGTCCAACCTGGCTTTGGACACTTCTAGGGATGGGACAGCCACAACTTCTCTGGGCATCCTATGCCAGGGCCTCCCCAGCCTAAAAAGCAGTAATTTCTTCTCAATATCCCATCTAACCCTGCTCTCTGACAGGGTGATGCCATTCCCCTTGTCCTGTCACCTCAGGTCCTTGTCCTAAGTCCCTCTTCAGCTCTCCTGGAGGCACTGGAGGAGCTCTGTGGTCCCCTCAGACCTTTCTCTTCTCCAGGCCCAAACCCTACAAGGATGTGCCCAAGCTTTGGGCAGTGATGAACTGCTCAGAGTTTCTTGCAGGTAATCACCAATATTCACTGCTGCACTATGCACTTCTCAAAAAATCTTCAGAAATTGCAAAAATGAGAAGGGAGGGCAGAAAAAAAAAGGGTGGGGGGGAGGAAGAAGGGAGCTCTCTTACCTTGGTACTGGGAGGGAGACTCTGACGGGCGGCTGTACTTGTGCTTTTTACCATCTTTCCAGTCTATGGCTGAGACAAGAAACAGAGCATTTGTGTCAGGGAAAGGAGCCAGACAATGCATCCTCCTACACTATCTGTGCTCCAGGCACTTCAGAGGACAGCAGTGCCCTCCATATCATGACCCCAGAGGCATGGATGACTTGCCTCTGTCTCTGGGGTGTGCTCCCTTCCTCTCCCCAGCTCATGCAGGTACCTGACAGGAGGTATCCACACCTGCACCTCAATCCCTGTTTAGTTCCCACCAGCCACTGTTCTCCTTTGGTGACAAGCAATAACAAAAACCAGCAAACTCCATCATTTTAGCTATGAGAAGAAGGGCTTGAGAGGAACAAACATAACAGCCACTAAAAATGGCTCATGTGGATTTTTGGTGCAGAATGGCTCCTTGTGTATGAACTCCAGGTTATTCCACACAAGCAACCTCAACCCTTTGTGGTGACAGAGAGGACTTGTCTGAAAATCTGCACAAGGGCCCTCTCCACACACAACACCAGGCTTCCTTGTGTCCCTTGCAGCTCAGAGGACAGCACAACAAAGCAGCACCAGCTCTGCAGAGCAGCTCACCTGAGCTGTCTTTGCTCATGACAGCTTTGGGTCTCAGAGCTCCAAAAAAACTGAACTTCTCAAGACAGCTCTGGAAAGTGATAGAGCAAAAAGTGGGGAATGCTCATCCTGGCCTCCAGCCCTGTGCCATGGCACAGTTCACCCTGAGCCAGCTCCTCAACTGCTGCTGCCAGGCTGGCACCCTGGGAGTGCTGCTGCCCTCCAGCTCCTTTATTTTACAGATCATTTTTAGGGCTATTGTAGACAGCAGCTTGGTAATGCTCTATGAAATGTGCCTTGCCCCCATGAAAAACAGTTCCTTGTGAAAGGAAAAGGTTTGAAATCTGACCAGTAGCTGGAAGAGGCAGGCTAAGAGCTGCTTCTAAAGTGGCCTGGGGTGTCTTGATGTGTCTGGAATTGCTTTGAGACAATTATTTTTACAATCTTCTCTTCCTGACATGTTCTTTTCAGCACAATGGACAGGACAGTAGGTTTTATTGCTCTGGAAAGTGATAGAGCAAGAAGTGGGGGATGCCCACCCTGCCTCCAACAGCCTCCAGCCCAACAGAGGGATGCCAGACCAGCATCCTTTAAATGAACACGAGGGACATATGGAGTGTGGCCACAGCGTCACTAGACATGGGCCAGACAAAGAGCCTCCTTGGAGAGACATAAATGAATGAAAGGATTGAAGGACACCCTTCCTAATAAATGCATTACCACGAGGCACAGTATTGTGCCATGTCCCTAAGAAAGCAAGAATAAAGGACATGAAGTATTTAAGTCAGAAGCAAAAGAGCCCCCTGGGTGGGTAAGGCTCCCCTCGGTGCTGCAGGACAGCTCTAACAGCATCCATGCACTCAAAGGAGCTTCTCACCACACTCTGCAGGTGAAGGTACATTTTGTTCTTAACCTTTAACATGCAAAAATGCTCATTAAGCAGGATACAAAAGCAGCAGAAAGAGAGCGAAACAAGAATTTCTGCAGACAAATAAAGAAACAGTGCAAGTTCAATGCATTATTAAAAAAGCAGGTAAGTAGGACAGAAACCCACATGTGCACGGTGCAGGTGCTGCCTCTGCAACCTACAGCCTGGCATTCTGAGCCCAGGTCACAGAGGCAGGCTGGCTGGAGGCTCCAGGAGCACAGAGAACAAGCTGTGAGCGAGGCTGAATCCAGGCAGCCCGGGCCACAGCCACGCTGCTGACTAATCAACCAGCCTCCTTTATTGCCAAGCCCTCCAGCTGCCTCACAGCAGGGTCTCCCCATTCCCTGCTTTCCTTCATTTATTTTCAGTTCATTAAAGGACAAGCAGCGTTAGGAAGAGGATAATGCCGCTGTAAGATGAACCACGACAGAAGCAAAGGAGACATTTAAAAAAAATAAAGGCAGGAGAGAAATCGAGCATAGAAATCTCCTGCAATAAACCTTGGGAGTGTGGAGCAGATGTGAACAAAGAGCTGTGGAGGATGCTCCATCCTCTCCCTTCTCCCTTCCCCCCTCCTCCCTGATGAGATCACTCCAGTCAGACGCACATGCATGGCACAGCACTAAAGGAAATCAATATTTTCGTTAAGCACAAGAAGCCAGAGCAGCTCAGCTGCAGGCAGTCTGCTTGGCTTCACCCTTTTTGTTGGGGATGCAGGACCCAGGAAGCACGTGCTGCGTGAGGGGCCAAGGGACTGGGTGGCAGGGTAACCTCCTGACAGATTTCCTCTCCACAAGGTAGGCTGGTTTCTGGTTTCATGCCTCATTAGAGGGGGAGGCCTGTGCCAGCACAGGCAGCTTGCCTCATGCTGGGAGCTCTGCCAGATGGTGCCCTGGGCTCTGCAGGGCACCCTCGCTGCTGACACTGCGCCCCACGAGCTGCAGGGATGCCCCAAAAAAGGACTCTCCTCTTCCTGTCACAGGGGTGGATTGATGAACTGCTCTCTGCACGCTGATTGAGAAACACACAACTCTGCTTTGGGCTTCCAAGCACATCCCCTCCGCTCCCAGCCCGCTGTCAGCCCCCTGCGGCTCTCCAGGCCATGCCAGCTCACTGCAGGGCCCTTGCTGTGCCAAGCATCACTGCTCACCTTTCTGAGGGCCTGGTTTCCGCATTCTACCACCTGCTGCTGTCCTTATCCTGGGACTGGGCTGCTCTTACAGAACTGGAGATGTCTAGGACAAAAGAAATAAAGATGAGAAAATTCCCCATTCTGGAGCACAGTCATCTGCAGCATTAACTCATCACACAGTGGGGGAAAATCATGCTCTGTCACCTGGGGGAGCACAGAACACACACAACTCATTTCACCCACTGAAACTACAAGACTTTCTCCAATTTGTGGACAACACCAAATTCATGGCAGCAGGAGTAGCATGAATAAGTACAAGGAGCGCATGCCTGTATCTTTGCTAACCCTACAGCAGGTCCAGAGCATGTGTGTGGAAGGAGGGGCTGCTCCCACTCACTAACAAAGGGAGGCAGAGCTGGAATTTATGAAAGAAAACACATGGAAACATAACATTAACTCTGGCAAAGCAGCACAGCAATCCCCAGCTTGCCACTTACAATTCAAATTGCTCACAGCAGTTCTGGGGAATAAGGATGAGAAATTGGACAATGACCCAGGAAATACTTTTGCTGTTAGTACTGCCATGAGTGTCCAAGTTGTGCTGCATTTTTTTTTCCTGGTTGGAGAAAAACTGGTTGGACTGTGCCCAACAAGCAAAGGCATTTGCATTCTTGTTATAAAGAAATATTCCTGAAAAATCAGAGCTCCTGGGAGATGTGTGGTGGTCATGTACAGGGACCCAGTGCTCCAGCACAACCACTCTCACAGGGCAGGGCCTGCCACACCCATAAAGCCCTGCCAAAAACCATCCAAATGAATGGCTGAGCCACAAACAAGCCCTTGGGAAAGCCACGAATAGCATGTTTTGACACTCCACTAACTAATGAAAGATTAATTGTATCAATATAATTCCATTTTGTTCACAGTGGGGCAGTCAGGAGAAGCAGGAAGCTGTCTCAGGACGCAGCACTGAGTAGCTGCTTAAAGGGTTATTTACAGATCCAACTTGGCAAGAATTTGGGGTTTTGAAAACCAGGCTTTTTCTAACTGTAAGAGAAATAGAGTTTAATTTTCTGTAACAGCTCTACAAACTACAGCCTCTTTACATGCAACACTGAGCAATACTCTGAGAAGAAAATTACTGAGGGAGTATTAAACACTAAAGGAAAAAAAGAAATCCTGGTTGCTTTTTTAATCCAAATCAAAAGGTGCACAGTAGTCACTTATTGCCTCTCTTCTAAATAGTGTGTGTGTCTGTACACACTTGTGAATGGAGTAAGGTTGGTTCCCTTTCAATAGCAGAAGGTAACCTACATGTGAAAGGTTATTTACAACTTTTAAAGCTTCTTTTCATAATTTTCTTCAGTCCTTTTTATTAAAGACTAGCAGTCCTGGCAGGAAAAGTCTCCTAGACATAAAAACCCAGGCTGAAAGGTGTTTATATATAAAGGCACCAGACAAGCATTTGCCATCTCTGGCTGTGCCCCTCTGCTGTCTGTGGGACTTTCTCAAGTACTCACACACATAAATCTCATGTGTTTGGCACAGGAGTTCCTGTGCCCCTCTGAGGGATTCTGAAAAGCCACTTCAGCCTGAGCACCTCAAAGTTCTGCTGGCAGAGATGTGTGACCCATTCCCTTCTAAAGTATTGCAAGAAAAAAACATTGTGACTGTGTTGGAGCTGCTCAGACAGGGTTTGTGAAAGGTTATGGCCCAATAGCCCTAATGAGGCTCAGGGGGACCTTCTCCCCCTCCACAACTCCCTGACAGGAGGGGCAGACAGGTGAGGGTCAGTCTCTTCTTTGAGGGAACAAGGACAGTTCAATAGGAAACAGCCTCAAGATGTGCCAGGGGAGGTTCAGGTTGGACTTCAGGAAGAATTTCTTCACAGAAAGGGGTGTCAAGCATGGGAATGGGCTGCCCAGGGAGATGGTGGTGTACTGAAGACATGTCTGGATGTGGGACTAGTGCTCTGGTGTAGTGGACATGGTGGTGCTTGGTCTTAATGATCTTGGAGGTATTTTCCAACCTTAATGGTTCTATAATTCTGTGATACTGATAAAGCACAGCTGACTGCTGGTATCCCTCAGCCAGCACTGCAGCAGGCTCTCAGCAAGATCTCGTGTTGTGGAAGAGAATCATATGTTGTAAACGTCCAATTTAAATAAATAATTAGATAAATGCTGAGTCTTCCCCAAAGGAGGAGACTTAAGTTGCATGGGGAGTCCCACTTTGCTGAGAGCCACATGAGTGCCAGCTCAAGGACACTATACTCTAAAATAGGCTTCCAAGAAACTGCCCAAATGTGACAGGCCCAGCCTGACTCCTGCCAGCCTGCATGAGCCTCTACACAGCTCTGTACCACCCAGATCCCCTGTACTTCTCACATCACAGGACAGCAACATGTGGGTTAATCCTGCAAAATCATAACTCAAGGGGAAAAAAGGCAAAATAATTAGTGTGCTCAGAGTCATGTAATGTCTAGAGAAGAGGCAGAGCCAAACTCCACGATGCACAGCTTCAGCCTGCCTGCCCCAGGGACAGCTGGACCTACACAGCCAGATGGGAGCCAGCAGCCTTACTGCATCACAGGGACAGGGACAGCTCCTGCCCTAGGATGCAGGGATGCCCTTCTTCAGCCATGGAGACAGACACTGTACAATGACAACTGGGAGGGATCCACAAGGATCACCAAATCCAGCTCCTGGCCTGTCACAGAAACCCCAACAGTCACACCCTGGGGGTGTCTGAGAGCGTTGTCCAAATGCTCCTGGAGCTCTGGCAGGCTTAGGATCATGACCATTTCCTGGGAAAAGAACCTTTTCCTTATACCCAGCCTGACCCTCCCCTGACACAGCTCCAGCCACTCCCTTGGGTCCTGTCCCTGGTCACAGGGAGCACAGACAGGAGCTGTCTCTCTGCTGCCCCTGGACTTTACTAACACAGGGCTTGGGAATTGATGATTTCTACTGGCTGTAATTTATAGTTGCCCAGAGGAGCTGTAAAATCTCCACCCTTGGAGATACTCCAAACACCACCAGCTCCCTCCCCTGCCAGCCTGATCTAACCTTGTAGCTGACTCTGACTTCAAAGTCAGCCCACCTCTGCATGCAGCATTGGACCAGACAACCTCCGAAAGCTCCTTCCAACCTCAAACACCCAGGGACTTTATCTCACTGATAACAGAGTGGATGGCAAGAGGAATCACTCTACAGGTTTTGACAAGGCTGAAATGCCCCAGTGAGAAGAATTCAGAGTAGAGAGAAGAAAGTCAAAGGCAGAACAGACAAGCCCACAGGGACCTGTGGACAGGAGCACCATGGTACCAATGGATGCGACCTTTACTCCATTCAGGGACTGAAGACTGAAAAAATGTGAAAGTAATAAATAGCAGAAGGTACAGACTGGTGTCCAAGGGGCAAAACCAGGCTACCCACAGAGACAGATCCAGAATCACCTCAGGCACAAACATGCTCCTGATGAGGACCTGTTGGCTGGATCCATGGCACAAAGGACACAATATTACTGTTGCATCAGATAAAGCCTTTGAGACTTCCACAGCCCAGCACACCCTGCAATGCTCCATCTCCAGAGCCTGACACTTGTACAGAGCTGCATACCAGAATTAAAACTCTCCTTGTTTTCAAAAGCTGTGTTTCTCCTGCTTGTGGACATCAAGATAATCTCCCAAGCATGAACTACAGCATTACAGAGTGCTGGTTTCCAGAATTTATAACCTGAAAGGACACGTCAATGTGCAAATTCATTTCAGCAGGATGCTACCTTAAAAATGTAAAAAGACCAACTAATTTGCTGCCTTTAGTATCAGATGAAGTGCCTCTCCCAGAGTTTCAAACAACTTTCACTCACCGAGATATCAAAAGTGCCAAGGGCTCCACTGAACTGTCATGGGCTCTAGTTCCCCATCACTCCTACAAGACAGCAGAGTCAGTACAAACACTGCGGCATAGCAAAACCTGAAAGCACAGAGACAAAATGAAAAAGTTTGCATTTAATTGCAGAAAGGCTAAGTTACCAGCTGCATTATTCATGTTCATATTTAATTCATTTAAAACATCCAAATTTAAATTTAAAGACAGCTGTAACAAACATTCCCACTTGCACTCATAAAGTAGCACAGAACTTGACACAATTTAAGTTCAGCTTGCAGTGAGTACACGGGACTGCGGCTGTTAAACACCTTTGATATGAGTCAGATCACATCAACTGAGCTGATAGAAACTAGTTCAGCTTTTGTAAAATGAAACTATCACACAAAGGAGGATTGAAAAGACTAGACCTGATTAGTAATGAAAAGGAGAGAGACCACAGGAGAGGCATATAAAATAATGAGTAGCATGAAGAGAGAGAACTGGGGACTCCAAATTATCCTTTCCCAGTGCAGCAGAGCAAACCTACAAAAGTAAAAAACTCCCAAGTATATACCAGGGAGAAGGAACAGTTCATTGGAAATTAATAGACATGCAACTTCCTTATGGAGGAAGTTATCAAGAGAAGTAAACGAGTAACCTTAGAAATGACACAGACATGGAAAAGCAAACCAGCATTTGTAAGGGCATCAAAGTATGAGACCCGTGGGCAATCAGTACCCAGGCCTCAAGCAAGAGCTGAACGAAGGATGGGTGCCCAGCCAAACCCTGCCCACCACATCACTGCCTCAGCTGCTGTGCTGTGGCAAGGAAAAGCAGAGCCCTTGCCCTCCTGCCAGGCTGCTGACCCCTGCTCACAGCCAGGGGCAGGACACCAGCTCAGGACATGGTTTGTTCACAGCCTGGTGAGCCCAGTGCTGGGTTACACTGAGATTCACACCTCTGATGCATTTTCCTTTTTCTCAGGCAGCAGAGGCAGGCAGGGCTGGAAGAGCATCCCAGGGCATCCCCAGCTCCGAGCGCTGCTCTCTCCAGCACTGCACAGCCTGCAGCAACACTGTGGAAATGCATCTTAATCTAATTAAGTTCTCCCCGCACTGCTCTTGCCAACAGGCTCTTCCAAAAGCTCATCCCTAAGGGCAGTCAGATTCAATTTACCTGTGCCAGCTTGGAAGGCAACTGCAGGGTTACAGGGGAGCCTACTCTGCAATATTGTTCCACAGGATGTGGCAACTGCAATATCAGTAAAACAAAAAAGAGAGAATGTGGATGGAAGATGCCGTCCCATCTTTCCAGACCTCATGAGATGCATGTAATCCCTTTATCTCCAAAGCCTCTGCTCCTTCGGAGCGCATAATAATGAGAAGAGTTAGAGCTGAGGCTCTTAATGTCTCTTCTAGGCACTTCTTTGTTCCACTCAAGGCACCAGTCACATCTGAATTATTTCCTGGGGTTGTTTGGACTTCCTATTATACAAGGATGATTATGGTGAACCTTGGGATGGAATCCAAGTCAGATCTCAGCACTACCATGCTTGATTGAAAGGGAACCTGAAGGTTTGCTGACAGCGTGCCAAGCTTCAAACCTCGCTGGACAATGCCGCTGCCAGCAGGCCAGAGGCTTTCAGAGACAAGAGGAAGAAAACCACCAACAGCGAAGCTGGAAAATGGTTTTATTAGCTTGGATACATACCCACAGATCAGGATTGGGGGAAAAAAAAAAAAAAGGAAACTTTGCATATTGACAGAGGACTGTGAGAATGATGCTTCTTGGAAATCCCATGGGCCCGCCACAAGAGAATCCTGACAGTTTCTCATGATGCAAAGTGCCTGCAGTCATTGATTTGTTCCCCACAAAAGCACAGGTCTGGAGCACCATGACCACTGCAGCCACTAGAAATCCCTTCCATGTAACCTTTGCTTCAGCTGAGGTTTTCTTCACAGTGATGTTTCCATCAAACACCATCAATGTTTCCAGCACTAAAGAGCTGTCCCTTTCAAATTCCCTCAGGAAATGTGAGGGCAGCACTGTAAGCTCCTGCCTGTCAGGGGTGATGGCAGTGCTGCCATTCCAGCCTCCCTGCTGGAATGTTTCAGCTCCATTCTGGAAGCCCCTATGTGACCAAGGGTTACACAGGCACATCCAGTGCCAACTCAACCCAAGGAGAAAATCAGGCACATGATGAGCAGATCATGTTAATTACAGAATATCCTGAGTTGGGAGAGAGCCATCCAACTCAGGATCATCAATTCCAACTCCTAACCACACACAGGACACCCCAACAATCCCACCCATTTTCCAGATGTTCCTCGAGCTCTGGCAGCTTTGGAACCATGACCATTCCCTGGAAGCGTGTTCAGGGCCCCACGACCCTCTAGGGGAAGAACCTTCTCCAAACTCAGCCTGCTTGCTCATTTAACACCTTTTTTTGCCATTTTTAATTTCAGTGATGCAGAAAGAAAAGCACTTTCAGCCTACCTGATGAAATCAGAGGACTGCCAGTGCACAGTCCTCTTTTAGTTTTCATACCAGACGTGGCTCCTCAGATTTCTGCCTGACCTGTGGACACCAGAACTTTTGCTGGTCTAAACCCCAGTTTTTGCTCTCAAGGCACTCTCTGATGAGCCAGCTGACTGCCCCTTTCCTGGGCAGAAGCCAAAGATCAGCTCCCAGGAACGAGCACCAGCCTTCTCGGAGCCAGACATGCAGGCAAGGAATCCTAAACCAAAATGCCAAATAATGCTTATGCAGGACCTGGAGTAAACTCTCAGGAGTGATCAGCTCCCAAGTTTGAAAAGGTGAGTCAGAATTTATCTTAAACAATGATTTTAGTTCCATCCACCTCCCTGTTACCATCCTCCTGAGCAAGACTGGAGTTTTATTTCTCCTTGTCTGTGCAAAGTCATGTTTTTGGCAGCTCCAAACAAAGGCTGATGAAGATACAAGCACCTCTGGAAGTATCTCCCCTCATCAGGTCAGGAGAGCCCTTACATTCATAACAGGGAATATTTCTAAGTAACACTGTATGATGAATGCTGGTATTTCCATCTGCAGGACTGATCCCCTTGTGTGATCTGAAATACCTGATGGCTGTAAACCATTACTCCTCTTTCTACCAGAAGGATTTTCTGTCATTTCCAACATCTCCCATTCTCTGGAATTAATTTTATCCTTATATCAAGTAAGAAGTGGACTGATGAACTCCAGACTTCATGACAGGCTCCTCACAAACACATTCTTGTGTTAACACACTGAGGTGTCTCAAAGATGTGATCACAAGTAACACACTTCCTCAGCCCCTGAGCCAAGTCTCACAGGAGTACATATTTTAAAAGACAAAAACATGAGAAAAACTTGGATAGACCATGTTTCTACAATGAAAATATTGATTTTATGACTTCCTTTTGAACACCTTCAGGTTGGTGGGGAGAGGAGATAAGTCAGCCTCCCAGGAAATGGCAGCTGGACCACCAGACACTGCTGAGTCAAACTCAAGAGATCGTCCTCAGGGTGAGTACAAAAACCAGGGACCAGTGAGAGGAACCTCCACTGTGAGCAAAGCTACAACAGTTACCACTGCTCATGACTGTGGGAGAAATTAAATAAAACCTTGCAAGACTTCAATAAAGATTTCCTTCCCTATGCAAAAATAACCCAAAAAAACCCAACCCACACACAAAAAAAAGACAAAAACCAAAACCAAAAACCAAAACCAAAAAAACCCCAACAAAACCAGCATGGGCCTTGGATCAAACCAAAACCATCCTGACATGTATCACTGAGCAGATCTTGCTCTCCACAAAGACTGAAGAGGCTGCAATAAAGACAACATATTTGGCACACTCCAGGAACAGGATACCCAGGCTGAGAGAAACGGAGAGATGAAAGGGCTTCAAATAAAAGACAAATAAGATAATCTGACTTTACTTTGCTAAAGAAAGCCCCTTAACAGGATGAATTTTCTCAGTACAGACGTGTTTACTGATGAGCTGGGAGTTACAGCCCCGTAGCTGCCATTTCTGTAGCGAGGGGGTGAGCAGTCCAGCCCTGCAAATCCTCCTTGGAAAGATGGGGCTTGACTGCTCTAAGAAGTCCACACACTGCTGAAAAATCAGAGCTGCTTTTAAGAATGGTATTGGTTTCCCACCCACTCAAATAGAAAGAAAACAGTGCAAAACCTCAAGCCTTCCCATGCAGGGAACATGGAGTGGTTTGGGTCAGAAGGGAGCTCAAAGATCCTCTTGTTCCAACCCCTTTGAGATGGGCAGGGATTCACAGCACTCAGAGGATCCTGTGCTGCTCCTCCCCAGACAGGACCATGCCCAAGGCGTGGAGCCAGGGCCTGGGCTGCCTCCCACTGCCATGGACAGCGAGTGGCCCACCTTGAACTCGTGCTGATGTGGCACAGACCTTATCTAATCATACAAATCCCCTGTGGGAACAGCTGGGGGTAAGGAAGCTTCACTGTGCTCCAGAATAATTTCAGCAAATCCTTCATGACTGGTCTTACTGTTGAAGTCACTTTGAGGTTCTCCCTCTGAGCTGAGCAATGCCCATGTCCCACATGCCAGCGTGAAAGATGCCACCAACACTCTCCATGACTGTTCTGGAGGAGTTTGGGAAAAGCTGCAGGTCTCTGTTTCTGGCTGTTAAGCAGAGACATTTCTGACCTGTATCTCCGTGGGGCTCTCCCAAATGCACTGTAACAAAACTCAACACAGAGATCTGCTTTTTGGGCAGGTAAGGTGCCTGTTACATACACAAAAGCAAAGCACTGATGGACTTCAGTGCCATACGGGAAGAACATGCCCAAGCAAGGAACTGAATCTGTGTGCCCAAGGCTGCTGTTTCTAACACTGAACCATCTGTGTTACAGCTATTTTGTGTCAGCAGGACTCCCATAGCTAAAAGTTAAAGTCTCCAGACTTTAGAAAGGAATGGCCTGGGTTGTAGACTGGCACAGCAGTGTACCCAATCCACTAATGACAACTATATTTCCAGTTGTCATCAGTGGATTGGCTACACTGCTGTGCCAGTCTACAACCCAGGCCATTCACACACGGGGCTCTGTAGCCTGATCCTGGCAT